ATTTTCGGGCAAATTTCCAAACACTTCCTTCGTACAAACAGCCCCGACCTTACTTCTCTATCTCCTCATCATTTCCATTTAAATTACAATCGGGACGCTCTGTCAATCACTGAGAGAGCAGCGTAAGTTGTTGCCTCGGACGACTGATAGATGGAAATAGTAGTCTACAGGTCTCGGTGTATTAGTCAGTACTGATCGTCACGTACGCAATTATGTTGGTGGATTAGCTACATACGCAAGTTGTAAAAGTTTAGTTTCCTTTGTTTATAATGTGTACAGTGTATCCATGACGTGGTGTACACATGTTTTAATGATTACCACGATGATTCGATTTTTTTTATTTTAAAGCGCTAACTGAACAGCTGTAGGAACCAATTACTGAGTCAGCACAGGAAGATGAAGTACATTCAAAGAACAGGGAACAATAAGTAATTAAAAAAACCTTAAAATAAACACAGACTGTGTAATTAATCGAAACACTTTCACGTATTGTGAAAATGCCGTCAAAGGAGACAATGTTGACAAGATGATTGGAGAAGGTGTACTGCAGACGAGCGAAAGACTGCCATTATAGCCTGTTTCAAGATAATGACCTGACATTTTTCGGAATAAGTAAGGGAGATACAAGATTTAATGACATGAGGAAGAAACGAGTTCCAGTTGTCTCGCTACAACATTTAAACTGGCAATAAAAAGAGTATATGAACCAATGAGGTACGTAAAATCGAAAATATGCACTTGGAAAATACGTGCACTCCAAACATAATGTTTATATAGGCCTTGGAATGAAATATGACCGCCTATGAACTGTTAATTAAAAAAAAAACTAGAGCCTGTATTGAAGCAAGTACGCAAAACTGAGTCACTGACACTAGATCCAGAACTCCCGGTCGACCTGAAGTGAAAGCGTTGGGCGTGTAATTTGTCACGTCATTTGCATGGCTTTCTCTTGGTCTGTGTATGGCTTATTATCGTTTTATGATTTGCGAACGAGTATTTTATTTTAGTTAATGAAGTTAATTGTTGCTTAATTTCTAGATATACGTCGATAAATTTAAATAAAAACGGGTGTGAGGTTGGCCAGTAAAACCGCAGTGTCTGCAGTAGTCTCGAATAGCGTAAATTTCATTTACACAATTGTGTTAGAGTCAAGCGTCTATTCGATGAGCCAGTGCGGACACGTTATCTCTAATGCTTAATTACGGATCATAAATTGTCTGCTTATCATCTTCGTTATCAGAGTTTCGCTTATAGGCCTTCTTGCTTTGTAAATGGTAGGAGAGTGACTTCCTTAATTTTATAAGAAAGCGTTTGAATTGTGCTGCTCCTGGAAATATTCATATATTCGAGAGAGTGCACGATTTCCATACCTTGTTTAAATTCGTATCGGCCTGCTTTGGTAAACCCTCGCGTACTTTAATAATTGTGTTGGGCAGAATTGAACATTTCAGCGCTCTCAGAAAGAACCTACATTCTGCAGCCATTTAATCTCCAACGCAGTGAACTGCCAGCGGTGGTTGAGGTTGTAAGGGGACATGTTGGTTTCATATTACTAGCCACGCGGTTGGTTTTATTGTGTTCATGCACAAAAGACTATATTTTAAAAGGGGCTTGTTAATTAACTAAAACAGCTGATACTTTATATGGGTTCTATGTGTTGTGTTGAAATGAAAAGTCGAGGTTATTGCCTATAGAGGCTGGAAACCAATGAAAGGTAATAACGAGCAAAGTTAGTAAGAATTCTTTGTTATTAATATTCTGAAGCCTGTATTTCTGAGAAACTATGATTTCTTGTTGTTGTAGTCTTAAAGAAACAGGGCTTGAGGTACCACGATACTTGTGGAGTAAAAGAATCACAGTACGTACTTCTTTATTCTAGGCTTTCGGCCCATTTTTAGCGCAGCGAATTAAAATTGTTAAACAAGAGGAAAAAATCATGAAGTGGTTCTCCAAGACCCTCGGAAATTTTCAAATTATTAAGGACAAGAAATTTGGAAACAATCAGTTTACATTATGAGGTTTCGGGAGCAGACAGGGTCTGTCAAAGAAAGAAGAAATTTATTGTAGTATCTAAGTGATATTGCAGGTAATTTAATTTTGTTTATAGGAAGGGGGAAAAGTTTGGGAACTACTGGTTTACATTTGTAATAAAAGAACGTTTGCTGCAGTAACTGAAGAAACATCTCTGTCAAGCCAAGTTATATAATTTGTAATTTTTTAGAAGGTAATATTATATAATTATGATTTTATTCCGATTTCTGTACTTTGTATGCGAATTTTATTCTTTTTCTGTAGGAAGAAAACCAGTCTGTTTAGAACGGCCCGTTTATTACGCTAGCTTCCTTTCACCTAACCCACGTGTTTTGACTTCATTTTCCCTTTTAGCGAGATACACAAACTGTGTACTGTATTCCCCCTCATTCCGTTAACAGTTTTCTCCGCCTTAGTGTAAGAGTTGGCCCACTTACGTAATTCCGGGAGAATGAAAGCTAAAATGCCGTGTCCTTTCTCTTCTATTCCAGCAGATCACAAATATTTCGGAGATACTGAAGGAGAGACACTCTGCGGTTACAATTCTTATTTGATATTCCATGGGGATGGGGAGTTCTCGGAAATTCGCGAGGGGCACTTCGCTGATAACCGCGGGTAGGAAACTTTTGTCAGAAAATTTTTGCCCTATGGGATAATATTTATGACCGTACGTGTTTACTACTTTAGATTATTCTGTCATTCTTGTCGGATACTTTACTAGTATTTGGTAGGCTAAATAATTTTATTGAATTAGTCACAGTCTTGTACGACTTGCGTTTTCAACGAGTAAACTCATATCGAGTTTCGCTGTTAATGCAATTTAAACTCTATGTGTGCATGAATTTGTCATATGAAGCGTGAAAAAATCAAAAGCCAGTTTCATTTACCGACAAGCATTTGTCTGTATACGGTATTATGCCTAGTCACCTACCCTATCCCTACTTTATTATTATACTTCTCCGAATCCACGTGACTGTGTCAGTAACCTGCAAGGAGGCTATTACATCAACGTTGTATCAACAACTTGACCATTTCAGCAAGACTTCTTTTGTAATTTAATAGAATCTGTGGCGAAACAGAATGAAAAACAACTATGCAGTTTCTGTATCCACTGGAAACCCTTTCATCTCCAAGGTATATCTTATTTTAAACCAAGAAACCCGTACATACGCAGTTTACACTTGTGACGTTAATTATTCTATACCCACTGAACTGCGGTTACCATGGAAACGCAGAATTATGTTTTTTTGTGAAGATATTTTTCTGCTGTGTTGGTAGAACATGGAAACGCAGTAACCGAAGCAAAGACTGCATTTAGCGGCAAGGATGTGTCGCACTGACGGGCACACCTGTCGAATTCCTCGCTGTAGACCAGCTTATTCTTAGGCACAGAATTCTTTGATTACTGTGTATTCCTCAAGCATTCTTTCCTTGCACAGAATCAAGACGAATTTGATAATTAAAAGTGTTACATAAAGTTAAACTTGTATTAGAATCTTAGAACAAGCAAAAAAGGACTACCTGATGTCTTCTGCTTTGTAGCGCCGTGTAGTCTAAAAGATGCTTACCGACGTTTCGAGGCAGTAAGTACCTCCGAAACGTCGGTGAACTTCTACCAGACTACACGGCGCAATAATCCAGACGACAGCCATTTTAAAACTCGCTGCCGGGAGAACATAAAATCCTTCTTAAGCTTGTATTGTTTAGATTCGTGTTTATAGTGTTTGGTTATGTGAATTGTGGTTAGTGTACCTACTTAGCATGGAATTATAAAAAAAACATGTACCCGTTGTAGATTACGAAATAGTAAACGGTGTTTTGTGTTATGTTTCCAAGTATTCTGTGAATGTTGATAACATTTGTGTACGAGAAATGGATTTATCATCATGTTTATCATCATGGAATGTGAATTAGTTTACAAAGATTTCAAGAACTTTCTTTATAATGGAAAATAAGACAATGTTCCTATAGACTACATCATCCAGGTGCTGTAATCTAAAACTAATAAACTAACAAAATTAACCGCTGGATATGTGATTATCACTACGGTAATACCCTTACTATTAATACATTACATACGTTTTATATGCATATACATCACTGCTTTAAGTCAAATCTCTGTGAGCACATCTTCTGGCCGGTATTTGAGTAAGCTTCCGGGATATGTCTCCTGTTAATATAAAGCTTGTTCACCAGTAATATGACATTTTCGATTGCAGTGTAGCATAATTTAAACGGGACTCGTCACTTTGGCAATATTACGGGGAAATGCCTTCGCTAGAAAATGCTATAAATATCTTCAAACTCCACCAGGAAGCATTCTTTGTCTTCATGTTAACAATATGTATCTGTTCTCGTAGCTGTAGATAAGTTTTCCTCTCTTCACCGAGAGCATTATTTGTTGATTGGTCTATAGCACTCAGATTAATTGGATAAATGTGTCTTAAAAAAAGAGTTTTCATTTCCACCCTTGTTCCTTGTTCACGCATAAATCTCCGGACACAAATGTGACTAATATTTCATCCTGAGGACAATTTAACAGAATTCGAAGTCTGTATCCTGAGACATTTAAGATTAGATCTACGACAGGTGGTCTTTTTTGGTTTTTGTAAGTTTGTTGGATAGTCAAACCTTCAAAAGATTTTTCTGCATCACAAATCTAGTACGTGAGAAATCGTTGTATTGCGCTTGCGTGTTTTGCTGATATCGCAATGGGTGAGTCGAGTGTTTGGGGTGGGGGCGAGTTGTGCGTGCGATGTTTTGCAGTTACCCCAGGCAGATGGCAGTGCTGTATAGTCTGCTGCTACATACGTGCTCCGTGCTCTGCTGTGAACAGTAGCAGAGTTTAGAATTCCTGATCGATATGCCGGCTGACTGAGGGACCAGAGAGCAATGGGAACGAAGCGTGCGGGAATGAGGAAGGAAGTAACACGTCTGGCGTAGCGTGGTCTGTATGTGTGTGCACAGCGGTGACAAACATCGGACTCGTTTGTCGTCACACCAGACCAATGGGGCTTCATCAGACGCTTGCAGGCCTAATGGTGCGATCTGTGTTGCAAAGAGTTATGCACAGCGTGAATATATTTTGACCAGTGCACCACTTTCTATAGTAATTTTGCTGTGTGTGCAGTGACGCTTATCGGCAGATATATTTTGCCTGTGTGGAAGAGAAGTAGACCTGGTTCGCGAGACACGTCACGTGAATGTTGTGTTGCAAGGGTTGAAAAAACCGGAGCAGTGACTTTTTCGCTCTCTGCCCCCCCAGTTTGATACCACTTGCTATAAGAAGGGAGAGGGGATATGTATCCTACACTAGCGCTGTCTTGTGGGACACCGGGAAGTTTCCCCGCTCAGTAATGGCGGTCGCCGTATCCGATCGACGTGCAGTTTAATGCTTTGTACTTGCTGTTTGTATTGATGTGACAATATTGAATTCGTTGCAGGTGGATAAATTACAGAATGTTGGTGACTATGGAACACGGTAGAATAGTATGATGGTAGTGTATCAGTGTTTAACCTGTGTGAGATGCCCGTTTTGTTTCAAACGACACCAGCGACGGTAACGACGTCGGTGGATATATAATAGTACTATAATACAAATATGTCGACAGTCGGCGCCTTTTAACTAGCATGGCGCTAGTATCACGGGGCCCTGGACCCCCTGTCTGGGCCCCATTGGGAATCAACCTTCTCTTACTACTCCTCGTGGTGGGAACAGTTACCTCGGAAAAGAACAAATACTGTAAGTACTGAGAAAAACCTTGTTTGATTAGCTGTAGAATGTTGTGAAACGAGTTTGTCGGTCTTATGTGTGTAATTAATTTGTATATATGTGCTGAATTTTAAGGATCTGCTTATGTATCCAATATTTTTACCTTTACCTTACAACGCGCCACAAATGAATAAGGGGGGCGTGGTTATCCTGTGTACTCTGACCACCGCTCGAATTGGAGATGTGTGCTTAGCGACGCACTTCGCAAAACTCATTCCTGTTGATAGCTCCACCGAGCGTCGCAGCCGAGTTAGCACTCCTGCTTCGTGTTTTTGAGGTCCCGGGTTCAAATTTTCTACCCGGAGACCGTCTATCCGGGTGTTTTTGTGATAGTACCTACAATTAGGCCACGATCACTTTTTACCTATTTTTTCCATTTAATAATCCCCTGATCCGACGCGATGAAGTCTGAGCTACTGACAGCACCGCTAAATAAACCATAACCCATATAAGTAAGTAAATAAATAAAGCGTTGAGGGCGCCACGAAGTTGAATTGGGCTGGAGATTGGTTGTAGAATGTCGGGTTATCATTCCTGGAGAGAAATGAGAGGAATAATGTTTCCTGTAAGTAAAATGTTTGGTCGAGGACCTTATCCCCTGAGAGTTTACTCCCAACGGACGATCCTGTATACCCAGTAACAAGAATGCCATCATGTTGATTTATTTTATGTGACGAAACTATGATACATGTTACGTCGATTATTATGATCTGCATTTTTAACTATCATCGATTCATATTGATTGTGATATTCTGTGAAATGACATGTTCGGGATGTTAGGATGTTTATGTTGTGAACATAAATCTTATAAAATGTTTCATACTAGGAAGACTACAGAAAATCTGGAAAGATTGGAATTGAACGGGACATATAATTTTCTTGTCTTGCTAATGATTGTTTTTCAGAATCATGAATAATATAAACATTTTGAATAGGCGTTTAGCTGTTGTTATTCTTTTCAAATTTTAATGGCGTTTCTGTTGTCCTCTGTTGGCATCAGAAAACGCAAATGAATTTATTTTCTTTATGCAGTTTAGACCATTACAAGATCCATATGAATTTCGCCGAAAAAAGTATAAACATATGAAAACGTCTTTTATTCGTAGTTTCTGACCACGCTTTGTGCTACGTAGTAGTATATTTCCAAAATGTATAATTAAGTACAGTAACTACATGGGACCAAATTATTGTGAAGCTGATCGTTGATAAGCTTATCAGGTTCACCAGGGCTGACCACACTGGACAATAAGGCAGTTGATTCCACAGAACATCCTTAGATCCTTTTTCTGTCAGATACATTATCGTCTCATCTACGCCAAGATTTTCCAAAATGGGCGGGGGTTCGGACGCAATCTTTTATAGCCTGTATTTCCGTCTCACGCATGCGCGATACATATAGTCTTACTGTCCACATTATCCTCTGTTATTTGATAAAGTGCTTGAATCCAGGGTAATTTAATAATTCAAGCGATAATACAAACAATGAAATGGAAACATTATTAAGGTCCTATGTTTAAAATTAAATGCATGTCCGTGTAATCAAACGAAATGCAGGCCTGCTATTATTTCACGATAAATACCCTGCAACAGCAGTGAATAATCTTTCAGCATGTTCACTGTAAATTGCTCAAAGCCGTTTACAGGTCTCTGGCCAAACTAGACCCGTAACGATAACATTTATATCCCAGTGAATAAATGTTTAGGTTATGTTTTCAGGTAACAAACCTGTTTAATATCTATACAACGAAAATACGGATAACAACATAAACATATTTTATTTTGATGAATGAAAGAATTCCACTGAGGTCTTGTTTGCTGTCCAGATCAGTGACATTTTATTTTAAATAAACTTTTGTTTCGTGTTAAATGAAACAAAGGTCATGGGGAGTAAAACTTCACGTATTCTTGATTTCGGTGTCAAATGCGAGAAGGATGTCAGTTTCAAGATCCATGCCTGCATCTCTCGTTACCCATTAGACTGTGTGGACCACGGTGCGGTTTTGGATTTTGTGTGGAAATGAGAGTAATTCCATTTCTGATATTGGAAGTTGATATTAGACCGTCTAGCGTGCTCAGAGGTAGCCACTGATCTTCCTCGGTAGTTAAGAATTGAACTGCGTGGGGCAAAGCCCTTTTTAAGAAGTTGACAGTCACTCAGCTAGTCAAATGCCGCGTATTTTATGGAATACGAAGATTCATTACCGTGTTCAGTAGAGACCGCAGTTGTACCTTGTCGTGAGCTAGACGAATCCAGCCTACATGCTACAAAGATACATTTTAATATTATGCGAACTACGCCTAGATCTTCTAACTGGTATTTTCATATTTTCCGACCAACGCTTTTAATATAGTTCTAATCTTTCCCATTCGTGCCACATTCTTCGTATTTCTTGTTTACCTTTATTTGGTCGCGCTAAAAATTGACGAAGAGTATAAACTACGAAGCTCTTGTCCTTAAAACAGCCTTCCAACGCTCCGAGTGACAACATGATTGGTGAGCTATGACGCAAATTGTTCCATGCGTGTTTCTAAACAGAATTAAGAAAGTAAATCGAATAGAATGAAATCAAAGTAGTTTTCTTGTGGCCTGCGCCAAATGTGAGGTACGGAGGAGAAGCAGAAGCCTGTTTTCCCAAATCAAATAAGGCAGCCACCTGATGCTCTGCCCCACCAGGGAGCAGGTGGGCTTGTAGAGATACCAGCTACACGCATGCGAATCGTTGAAATTATAAGCTCTTTAAGTAAATATTTTAAAATATTTCACTACGATCCATTTATCTTCGCTCAAGTAACTACGGATTTTCTGACGTATCTGCTACCACTCTTTCGTGTTGGACAGGCTCAGTAAGACCTCGAGGGTCAATATCCGAATATCTTGAATTATTTTGTTTTTTTATCTCTGTTCCTGAGACTGGATTTATCCTGAGCAAATGAATCGATTTCACGTTCATATACATTATTTCTTTGACATAAATTTTAATATTATTCTCCCTGTGTTTTTCATTTGGTCTCTTCCTTAAAGTGTTTCCGACAAACATTCTGCGCACGTAATTTCTCCCGCGCGTGCTACAAGCCAATACCACCTCATCCTCCTTCGCTTGTTTACGTTAATATGTGGTAAAGCGCATACATCAGGAGGCTTTTCGTTATGCAGCAAACGATGCACGTGCATGTACGTTTGAACGCACGCACATGCGTAGTATGCATTTATGCCTGCAGTAGGCAGTCATTTTCGAGTCAGCTTGTCAGTACATAAAGTGTACTATCATAAAGCAGGATTGGTATCAAAGATATTATGTTCCATGTAAATTTTGGTATCTTGATGATTAGCTCCTTAACTTCTGTTTTATTTTTCCATTAATTTGGAATCATGGGAAGTTTTCTCAAGGTCACATGCTCATTTCAAGAAATTAATTATCTCATTTCTTCGTACTTTTGTAGTTGCAATATCTTAGTAAAAGTTCTTATTGTAAATGACAGAGGTTACCACGGTTCTGGTATATGACAATGTACCTGTCTGCTTCTAATTAGTTTTATCAGCAATAAGAGACACGTGTTTTGCTGTAGTAACGACATTTTTGTGCTCATTTGTGCAAGTAGTTCAGTATTAGATCGATGAGGCGTAGGGAGTTATTATACATTAATTTATATTGGCAGTACATTAACGTTGGATCCATACAGGTATGCAAATTCACAAAGAATTTATTCGAAAAATATTTGAATTCAGTTGCTAAGTACGATGTTTGAAAGCTTTACACTGTTGTTCATGTACGGTATTACGATTCCCAAAATACCAGGACTAAGTGCCTTAAAGTAGGTCACCAACTTTCTACACATCAATACCGATTAATATTCCAGCAGGAACTTCTATACAACTCGCTTTTCTCCGGTGTTTAAGGAAACTTACTTTGATCTTATTGTAAGAACGTCTCTTTCTATGTTTTATGAGTTCTTGAATAAAATACACCTGCGAATAGTCGTTTAACCAGTTCGGAAAGCGAAAGGACGTGTGATATTAAAACATTAATGATAAAGTGTCGTTACGAGGTGAAATTAGAATGTAAGTCGGCTTTACTTTGTACCTTATGTTACAGAAACTATCTGAAGTCAGTATCCTGCACAGCATCAAACAGCCGAAATAAATTAGATGCTGGTAGTCATATGTTGCTATAAATTCCAAATTCCCCCAAAGTATTCTAATATTGTTTTGTAACGAATTTCGAAAAAAAATAACCTTTTTAAGTTTAGTTACAAACCTACATTACTCTGGAAAATGTGCATGGAGTTAATTGATCTGTTGGAATTTTCTGCCTCTTACAGCTATTGTCTGGCCGCGTTAATTTAACGAAACGAATTGTAGCATTCGTGCACAAATATTTTCATAGTTGCTTAAGTCCGTGATTTTGAGAATTTCCATTTCACAAACCGTTATGGTCTTCGTACATAAAAGAAGTTGACAAAGTCCTAAAGAAAAGTACTATCACAACATCGAACTCTTTTAGTTCTTTCCTTTCTTATTTCGTAATTAATAAGCAAACAGTTTTTTATCACTGAATTTTAATACGAGTATAAGGCACAAATACTTAGTTGGATGGATTTGAGGTTTTCGCGGCTGAGTCGGAAGATGGCTGTCTTCTGTGTTGTAGCTCACTGATCATCCTGATGATGGAGGTAGCAAGGGCCTCTGAAACGTTGGTAAACTTCTACCAGACTACACGGGGCTACAACCCAAAAGACAGTCATCTTCTCTCAGTAAGTTGTTTTATGTATTGGAAATCGACTTTTCTAACAAGTTACAAAATTGGATTATCAAGAACGTCTCTAATAGACTTTGGTTTTGTCAGCAGCGAATGTTACGATAAATATGCTATTGAATTGCTGTCTACGAGGGCGATTTCAGAGCCTATCAGCTTCTGCTCGCATATGAATACCCAGATAATGAGCCGTAATTAAGTTGAATTAGTATATAT